ATAAATTTTTACATCAGTTAGAGTTTCGTTACAATAAACTGAAGCCTTATTTTGGTAAATTTTAATGATTTTCCGCGATAGTCTCCAAAATTTAATATTTTTCAACTACTTAAGGACACACTTACTACACTCGAGGGGAATGAAAAATATAACCCGGAACTTAACATATGCAAATTATTGGCCACTTTTGCGAAATTTGCCAAATTTGTGAGTGCAGTGAACTTCGAAACTTCCCGGAACATTGCTTAGGACGCTTAGGACGCTGTACTTGCAGTTGTTGGAAATATTCTTCTTTTGTTCATTAATTTTATGCAAATAATGTTTATAAATTTTCAATAATATTTACGTTGGAATAATTATGAATTAATTATTCCATAAATTAACAAATTTGTTAAGCGTTTGCAGTTCAACGAACAGTAAAATATTAAAAAGTTCAATGCTTTATTGTGAAAATTAATTTTAATTTTAATTTTGTGTATTCAGGAATAATTAAATTATATTCGATATTTATTCAATGTTATTATATTTTGATTAAATATTATTAATTTAATTAAATAAAACTATCTTTCACCATGAGATTGCCACAGAATAAGTTAATTAAAATGAAAGTAGATGTATAAAGTTTCACATTTATGAAAAAATTACCATTTTTTCGTTATGGTTTTTATAATTCAATAAAACAGAATTAATATTGAAAATGGAAAAGATTAAATATTTATCACCAACAAATGTTAAAAAGTGCTGTTTTTTTTAAATACAAGCTGAAATATTAAGAGCATTAAAATAAATTTTGCGAAATTTTTAATAAAAACAATGATATTTATAATTTATAACTAATTAATGGAAAAAATAATTTTCTGTGAAAAGAGTATTATTCATCACAATTCATTATTCATTTATATTGAAAAAAATTCTTAAGTATTTAAAATATTTTGAAATGACACATTTTTAACGTCTCAATATAACGTAGTGTTTTCTTCCATAAGCTAAAGGTCCAAAAAAGTTCTTTGATATGAATAAGAAGTTCCTATTATATGAATAGGGAGTTCTTATTATATGAATAAGAAGTTTTTTAGGTAGAATTAGGAATAAGTGGACTGTTTAAATCCAATACCACCCGTTCCACAAATTTGACTTGTCCAGAACCATGTATTGATGTGGTTATTTTTGTTTTTTAAAATATACTAACTTTTATTTCGAAAGCTTTTTTTTTTTTTTTTTTTTTTTGTATCTCCTACATATGTTCCGAAAACGGAAAAATACAAAAAAAAAAAACTTTCGAAATAAAAGTTAGTATATTTTAAAAAACAAAAATAACCGCATTTAAACATTTTCGAAGTAACGACTCAAAAATTAAAACAAAAATACATGTATTGATTTTCCTCAATAAAATTTTCCTCAATTTTTCTCAATGTGGTAAAAATTAGCTCATAACTAGCTCATATCATAAGATAGGCATTTCATACACAGTTGGTTGGTGGATGTAGTGACTGATCCTTAGATAACTCTCCGGATTATATGTTTAGTAATTATTTGCTGTTTGTACACCATAAATACCAGAAACAAAATTTGCAAAAACAAACCAAATAGCTAAACCCAATAGATGAATTCAGTTGAATATATGTAGCTTGAATTATATATAGTTGCTATATGAAAACAATTTGGTCAATTTTTGAAATAATACACTTTTTTAAAATTAGTTTTTTAACAAAAATATTTTTTTAAATACATCAATATTTTGACTTGACTATGTTCTGTAGTCATCTTTAGATAATAAAAAATTAATAAAAAATTATGTTCATCAAAACAAATAATTATAAAATTTTAATAATTATTTATTGATTAATTTATTTATCAAATATATTATTCTAAATATGCTAAAACTATTTCGTCTGTTATTTCTCGATAATCTTATGTATTGTACATTTATTGCCTGAAAAATAAAATTTAAAAAAATATTTTTTTAAACTAAATACAATTGAAAAATTAAATAAAAATAAATTAGCGTTATTAATTTATCCTTATTTAGTCAAAAAATGAGGAAATACAAATCTTATTCAAAGAAGCATAAATAAATATTCTCAAAAGTACCAATAAATAAATATTTTCATTGTATTAAAAATTCAATTCAAAGCAGCTAAAAATATTCCAGATACAAATTTCATTTTGTGAATATTTATATGAATGTAAGTGTGTCACATTACTCTTGTTTACTTTTTAGGCAAAAAAAAAAGTTACATATTTCCCAGAAATGTAAATAATATCCACACCTAAAATTGTACAAAAAATTATTTAATAATATAAGCAGAATTATTAAGCCAAATGTGCAGATACATCTGACTGTAAATTGAATTACAGACATACTTGTATGTTTTCATACATCTTTGTTCACAATAAATGTACTGAAGTAGAAAATTCCTTATATTTATTATTGTTAATTTAATTAAAATTTTTATAAACGTCTTATATTCTTTTTATTTTTGCATTTTAAGAATAACATTGCCAAAAAAAAACTCTTAAACGTTTTTATCTCTCACTTCACGTATTCTGAATATACTGAATATTTAAGAAATTATCTTAACATTCAAGTACATTATTAAATTATATGTGAATAGTTCAAGCTGCGGGAAACTCGGCACGCGTATTAAAAATTTCGAGTTTATAATGGAAAATATTTTATTAAAAATAAATAAAATTCATTTTATTTTAAGGACTACTTTATACTCGTCCTGTTGTCATATACAACGAACCTCAATAAAAAGCAAAATAAAAATGAAGCGTACTAGTAGTACCTGCTTCGGAAATGTTATTTTTAAGTTGCAATTATTTTACGCACAGCTGCTTTCACTTTAAATAAAAAATATTTACATATAAATATATGTACATATATAAAATAATAAAAAAAAATTCTTTAAACTTTTTAAGCAAAATATAAAATAACAAAATCCACAGAATTCCTTGCACTCGTCCAAATAGTTGCCATAGCACTTCCGAGTACACCCAATTCTTTCGGAAAACTGTCTGTTGAACAGTGAGAAAAACTGCAATGCAAAATATGTCAGTGAAAAACTTTCACTTCCCAAAAAATGAATGAACTGAGTTTGAACAGTTCTACACTTTTTGACTTTATTAAAAAAATAAATATTTAAGATGTGAGTATACTATTTTGAATAAATGTACAGTTGCGTTTGTGCACATTCATTGAATATTTATAATAACGTTCATATAGTTATAATACGGATGTAATACCTTGTATCAAATGATTTTTGACATATCCTGTTGGACCCGTTGGACCTCAGCCTTAATAACTTAATACGTTGAACCTTAATACAATGCGAAATGGAATATTGCTATACAATCTCACTTAATTTACAGCTAGATTTGCTAAGGTACAGTTGATTCAATAGTCAGGGTGCATGTTGATACAACTATCAACACTATCACTCGGTAATCTCTATTGCTCATTGTGATGCCTTCAAAACTGCCTGCGAGAGGTGAATTACGCTAACCGTCTTAATAACTTTTAATAAACATTTGATGTTTAGATAAAGCTAACATCTGGTAAGTCCACTTTCCTTATCTCTAACAGACCAGTGAAGATACTGTATGTACAAAGATATAGAACATGATTGGTGGACTCTACGTCATCTTTATCTAGAGAACTTTTGTGCAATCATCTTGCGGAATATGGCAACCTTGAAGCATTAATACAACTACTTAAATAAGTAAAAGGATTTACAGGTTTAAGCCATAAACCGTTTTCGTTTTATTACTGTTTAATCTAAACAGTAAGAAATTAGCGATCACACAGTCTACGCAAACAGTTTATTAGTCGTCTGTCACCAATATGTTAAAAGTTTTAATGCTTTTAAATGTTCACCCTTAGAGGTTTAAAGCGAGATGTCGACCTCACTTTTGTGAAAATTAATTCCTCCTCAGACTACTTGCTATATTACCTTATTTCCCTCAATATGCAGAAATTTTTCCTCAGCATAGAAAGATCTTCTGATATTCCATATTCACCAGCGAGACCTGAGATTTCATCTTAGATTTAATTTAAACAATAGAAAACAATAACAATAAATAAATACTAACGAATTTGTGTAACAATAATCTCAATTTACTACTGTGCGATACGGAATACACCCATTTCTGTGAATTATTTTTCTATTAATTCCAACTAATCATATTGATGAGTTTCATATTTAAGAAGCATCGTTTTGTCTTAATCTACAAAATAAACTTGGCAGTGTAGTCTTTCAGTTTTCTGCAAAGTTTTGACTGTCTATGAAGATAGTGTTATTCAAAGAGCGAATTGTTCTAACTTATTTTAGCCGGGTTGCTTTTTATATGTAATATTAAGATTGCCAAGAAGTTTGCCGGGTTGCTTTTTTTATATAATGCTGAGATGATCAAGAATTGAAGAACATCATAACAGAAAAGACTTTGTAAATGACCGACAGGTTAAACAGCTGGTTTATACGATGAAGTAATAATTAACGCACATATGAAATTACCTGAAGCCAAATTTTGGATACTTATATGCTAAGGCTATAAAAAAAGAAACCTCACAGAATGGGACAAAAGTAAAATCTTGAGTAAGTCATGCTGGCAGACTTATTTTATTGTTTTATGGTACTTCATACATTTCAAAAATATAGCAATTAAAAAATAAAATGTGTTGACATATTGCCAGCATTAGGTCTCTTGATATCACAGGGCAAAATTGTTTGAATAGATTTTTTAAAAATATTTGAAGATAATTTTATCTATATAATTTAATCTGATATAGAGACCAAAATTCATTTTAAGTTTATTTTAAGGTTTTACTTTGACCCAAATCATAAAATTCAGCTTATATTGGCACCTCACTGCTAGACCCTGCTAATTTTTATATGAATTCTCATAATTTCAAGTTTTTTTTTCCATGTGTGTATATTCGCTTTTCCTGTCAAACATATATAAAAAAGTATATTATATAAATGCTTAAAATTAAATAACAATTTTAATTCTAAATTCAAAATTTGCAAACTAAAGTTCTTATCATTTTGGTGGAATGTAAATTTGGTACCATCATGACTTCAAACTGGAACAAATCCAGAATTGTACAAATAACTGAAGAAAATTTACCGAATAATGAAAGTAAGTAAATATAGACACATATAGAACTTCTATTTTTTTAAATTTGACTTCTTTCTATATAAATTATAGCAAGTTTTATGGTAGGTGGAACTTTATATGTCATTAAACAGCAAAATGTTCGTACTACTATTGAAATGCGACGATTTCAATACAGTAGATTATTACCAAATGGTAAATAAAAAGATTTTTAGTGAATATATGAACGATTTTTAACATAATTGATTTTTAAGGTAATCTAATACCTCTGAATATGGACAGGAATGAAACTAGTTTCATTGACGATTACATTAATTACTGTAAATTACAAGCAAAGCCAAAACCTACAGTCGTAACGCCTATAATACCAAATTTGCCTACACAATGCACTGGAATTATACATTCTAATCCTACCGTGTTAACTGTAAACGTTACAACTCAGGTACTTAAAACAACTGATCTATGTCTTAACTTTGTATTTCTTTTACTAATTATTTTTCGCATAGACAAATTTTACACGCGATATTAGCACTTCAACAGAATGTACTGCCCAACCAAAGATACAGTTTACAACCACTCAAAAGAACAAAACAAAATTAAATAGTCATTATCCTTGTTGTGCTGAATATATTCTTCATAAAAAGAAGAATAAAAAAAGAAATCATCGAAAGAAGAAAATGCATTTATCCCCATTTTTAATAACTGATAGTGATGATAGTGAGGTGCTTGGAAAAAATCAAACAGTCGAATAAGTCAAATGTTGTAAGATTCAACATGCTGTTAAGGTAAACTAGCTTCCTTAAGCTGTCAATGTACCATATTTCTAGTATTTTTATTACATATTTAAAGACTACAAAGTAATTTCTGTAATTAACGAGAAATTTATATTCACAAATCATACAGTTCATATAAATGTTTTATTTATTCACGAGAAGTATTAATAAGTGCTTTACATAAGATAAGCTTATTGAGTCTCGATCCGGTTTTCAAAATATAGAGTTAATGCTAACCCGCCCTTTCTATTTAGCTCTTACTCGCTTTTTTTTTGCTTCCATTTTTATTTCACATTTTTAACTCTTACAAGAGCCTTTATGGCCTATTTGAATACACAAAGCTCGATTAAACTACAATACTTGCTGAGCCAATCCTTTAATAGAGCATGCGATTAAGCGCAGTCACTGGCAACTGTACCCCATATAATTAGTCCTCAACCACTGTAGCGATAGACTGTAGGTTAATCCTGCATTGAGCATTCATCTTACTACTAATTATATACTCCATTTTAACGCAAAAGTGCAATATCTTCACTTAGAGAGTGTGGTTTATACTACGCCTGTTCTATCTATACATTTGATATGTATACTAAGACAATTTTCGATATCGATTTCAATAATTTCATTGAACAACAATATTTCACTACGTAGTGTTTTGAGTTTGGGAAGTAATTCCTTGGTCCCATAAAAGAAAAAAAATTGTATGAATGCAATGATCAATTATTCCAATTATTAACTACTTATATATTATTTTCAATTCATTGAATATCATTTAATTTTATCGAAATGGGTTAAATGAATATTGATCACAAACAAATCCTTCCTCTCTTCCTTTCTTCCCTCCTTATCCAATAAGATTATATTATTTCGCAAACTGAAGAATCACATTTTTAAAGTTATAAAACTTTTAAATGAAATATTTTTGCATTTATTGAAGAATGTTATATGTATCGATTATAATGGACTATATAGTATAGTCTAACTTATGTTAGACTATATATCAAATCCATAATGAAAGAGACTTGAAGCAACTAGTTGATGTTAAGCAGCTTACCGTAGCAATTAATTGCTGTTAATATATACTCTGTGAATATTTTTACAAAATCTTTTTATTAATTAGTAAATATAACAATAATTCAGAAACAATCTAAATATTCCATGCTTTGAAATTATTATTTATATGTTAAAAAAAATAAAATTTGAAATATTTTTTTTACAAGTTCAAAGCAAAAATTTTAAATATACACATCAGATCAAAAATCTTTTTTAGTAAAACATTTGATTGTGAATTTATGATAATCTAAAATGGCGGGATGTGATCAATTTTACTTTCCTCGTGCAAGGGTATTTTCTTTACTGAATAGCATTGATAAACGGCCAATTTGGTTTTGGGGAATACATAAATGGACAGATGGATGTGTTAAACGCATAACGGATATGGAACTGCAAACTTTAGTATTACAAATTACAGGAAGTTGCATTGATAGAACATTCATCTGTTGTCCTCCATGGACAAATAGATACCTCTTCATTGACTTTCCTGTGATCACAATGCTAATTAAGAATTTAAAGCAATACTTTGTTTTTGAATGGACCGTAAGTTAAAAACAAAAATTTTCATTTATGCAATTATATTATATGTATTTATTCATATTTAATAAAGTAGTTGTGTTTCTAAAACATAACATATTATTATAATGTATTATTTAGAAACACATCAACAGAAATAACAAATATATTTATATAAAATATTTTTAAGATTATTGACGATGAAGACAAAATTCGTCGTTTCCGCGCCTCCAATTTTTGTTCTGTGGCACGTGTTTCTCCAACTTTATGTTTGGTTCCAATGCGTTTAGTTGATGGATGGAATCGAATACGTTTTGATCAGTCATCATTTGCACAGAATGCTTACGGAACCAATTTTCGACAAACTATACGTTTACAAATACACGCAAATTGTCAAATACGTTACTTATATCTATCGAATCGGTTTCTAGCCGAAGACGAATTACCTCCAGATCTCCAACTTCATTTAAAAGAGCCAGAAATTGAAATCGAGAGGCAATCACAAATAGGTAGTAGTGATACGGAGATTTCCACATCCACATTATGTATGGAAATTTAGTTTTTAAATTTAAAATTATTTCAAAATTTCTTAAGCTTGAAATAAAAAAAATATATATTTTGTTTTTATTCGAACAAACTTCTATAAACTTCTACTACAGAGCATCAGTTAAAAATTACCAGCAAAATAATTTTTTCTCTAAAATCATTGTTAGTAACATGCAAGATACATTATGATAGGATTGCATTATATTAGCCCATTTAAAAATTATAATAAGCTTTAAATTAATTATAATTCAAGCAAAATATATGTAAGAAGTCATTATATAGTAATCTAATTCATTCCACTTAATTTTTTAATATTACGCTCTACCTACATATTAATTTTACTTCAGTGAAATGAAATAATCGAAGTAATTATATGAAGGTCATTCACACTGCTATCTGTACATTACCTCAAAAGGTAATATGGTAATATTTGATAAGATTAGAAGCTCCTCATATCATTTATAAATAAATATTATCTTTCATGAAAACCAATAAGATTACTTCCGAGCCCCTCTTAAAAATTTTTAAAAATGTATATTTTTTGCGTTTCAACATAATTCTTCAACAATTTTATCTTATTCCTAACCACTAGATTGTATGAATTCAAAAAACAAGTCTTCAATTCAATAGGTGCATAAAGTCGTAAATAATATCTCTATGGACTTAGGTATAAAAGAATTACTATAGTGGCCTATGTGTTTCTAAAGCCATTGATAGCATGTGACATAACGGACGCCTTCATATAAGATGGTGAATATATTATCAAAACATTGCTACTATTTATTAATTATACTATTATACTATACTATTATTGTTATATAGTATAATATATGGTTTGTGTAAAAGAGATAAATTGGTAATACAAAAATGATTAGAATGAGGCTTTGTCCCCTTTCTAATTTACATAGCAGATATATCAACTCCGCTTGGAAACCATAACATGATACCCACAATTGCTGATAAGACAGCCTTGTCATTCATGTACATATTAATATCATAATAAATAAAGTAACTAATCAGCTTACAAAACTGGGTATAAAAATAAATGAAGAGGTATCAATACAACTCACCTACACAAATAAAAAAGACATAGGAATGCCGTTTAAGATTCACAATAAACTAATTTGTACTAACATGAAATCTAAATATTTTGGAATGATGACAGACCAAAAACTCATCCAAAGGATATAAAAACGACCCATGCCTACAGATAACTATGCCTACTACACCCATGCAAGTACACATAAGCCTTTTCAATCTAATTCCATCTATAGTCGTAATTGAATATAGAACAATGCTTCAGCATAAGAGTATTCGCTTTTTGTTGACATAACAGAAAAGAATCTTCTCCCTCGATAGCATTCTAAAAAGTAACAGAATATTACATTTAAATCTTCCTCCAAACTTTTTATGTATGTGCATGCAATGTCTATGTAAGGATACTATTTTGTTATATTTAAATTATAAAACCATGAATGCTTTATGGTTTCTATTATTTTACTATCATAAGCATTTATTTTCTTCAGCAACGTCCTACTCTTGAATTCAACAACCCTAAATTGGCAATTTTAAGATTATGAACCCGTTCCGTAAATTTTTACACATTTTCGTTAAAATTAATGTTCTTAATCCATTAGCAATAATACCTAAATCATGAATTATTTAGGATTCACTTATTCATTATATTAACCACACAACATGGCATGTTGGCGTTTCAACTGATCTCCATTAACATCCCGATTTGTATGAAGAGATTACGACCAATCTTTTAACTTCAGCTTAAAGTATGTAATGTACCTAAAAAAACTACTATCCCGTTTTTTGTCCTATTAACTGTTAAATAATATTTATGTATTTTTTGAAAAAACAATCCTAAAAGTGAATTGAATCAAACAAACCCATTTGAGCTAGAGACTGCGGTGTGCTTGTATACCGGTCCTTATAAAAAACAATTTAGGGAATAAAAATTTATTCTTAAAAGATTATAGCAGATATCCTGAAACTTTAAATTAATATTGATTTCTGAAGCATATTTAACATCCGTAGTATCCTTATTTACAGCATCGGTAGTATTCTATTACAGTAGTAGATACGACATATATTTTAGTAAAATATATTAAAATTATCATAGATTCTAATATTGCATATAATTGAAATGTCAAATTTGGAAGTAAAATACTATTGATCGAACAATACTCGTACACTGTATCCTTAACAAGTGTCAGTATTGACCCATGAAAAGTTATAAGACGTTCTAAACTAATTGTTATGATAAATTTTCCGTATTTTCCAGATAATATCTTCTGCAATATTGCTGCTGCCAGACAGCTGTAAAATGTCATATTTTGCAATATTTCAAATCCTTACTTAATATCAATGATTAATAATTAAACTAATTAGAGTAGATTTAATTTTTTTTATATTAATTCTTTTGAATTATTTTCAATATTTTCGCTAAATCATTAAGCCTGAGATTTTTGATAAATGCATGTGCATACATACAAACTTAAAAAATAATATAATAGTCTTTAATACTAATTAATTTTTGGCCACCAAAAAATTAATTTTTAATAAATTATTTCATTACATAAAAAATAATTAAACACCACAAAATTTCTTTTTTTTTGTCTTTCTATGCAAAAATATTGTTTAGAATAATATTGGCTACTATTATCAAAATTCCACAATATTTCTCTAAACAATGTTTCACATTATTAGATTTATTTAAAAATATAACATGTAAGTCTTTTTTTTACATTACTTATATCAGTAAATTTTAAAAGATATAAATATAATTGAGTTTCCAAAATAATTTTCATAATCAATATTAAAATTACTTTGGAATAAATCATCACATCCGGGGTTATCATCGCATAAAGAAAAGAAAAAAAAAGTAGTTCACTTTCTTTTGAAATTATCTGGACAAGCCATTTGATACAGAAATTGTACTATAGTACGAGTAGGACGACCAGTCATATGATCTTTTGCTAAATAAGGAATAGTTCCAAACTTCGATAGTAACCCTACTCCTCTCGTATCTAAATGTGCCCAATCAACGCAAGGCAGCAGTTCCTACAGATAATATTAAATCCATAAAATTATTTGATTATAGTAACATTATAGCTTACATGCAGTATAGCCGCAGCAAGACATGATGATGCTGGCCCTACACCATTGTTGGATATATCAAAACTCACATTTTCTTAAATGGAATTATTAATTTTATAAATTCAAAAATGTTTAAGCATTTCTTTACCAGTGACAAGTTTTTTGTAAAAATGCCATAATGGAAAACGCCACACTCGATCGCCTGTTATAGCACCTGCCTTTTGGAATTGCTTCCATATATAGTGCGAATTTGAATATATACCAGTTGCTCCACCGCCTAAAGTTTTTTTCACGCCATAGCCAATTGAAGCGACATCAATAACAAGACGTGGTTTATAATTAATTTGTCCGAAGAGCAAGGGGTCAGCTAAAATAACAACACCTGCTTTGTCAAGATCCTAAAAAGGAGATTTCAATATATTTGCAAAAAAATTCTTTAATAATAAAGATTACACTATGACATTTACTTACTCGAATAGACATTGTTTTGCCATTTAATAACCTAACAATGTCACCAGGTTTCGCTGACATACCAGATGGCATATTTTCACACAACGGAAGTATAGCAGTTAAATTAATGGGTAGAGAGAGAGCTGCTGCGGCTCGCATTGTTGCCACCACTACAGCAGCTCCAGACATGGCGCCACGGAATTCATCCATGTCTCTACAACGGCGCAAATTTATTCCACCGCTGAAAAGAATTTTATTTACATCTTTAATAATAAAATCTAATCATTTGAATTTATGAAATAACCTATTAAATGTCAAGCCTTTCCCAACCAATAGAATTGGCTTATCTTCAGGTGAAGTACCACAATAATTTACTTCTATCATAATTGGTGGTTCGCACGACCCTTTAGCTATCATCAGAAGTGAATTAATTTTTTGCTGCTCAATCCAATCCATTGTTCTTATCTCAACTGAGGCACCGCATGGGCAGAGTGCATCGACAGCGGCTTGAGCGAATGTTGTTGGTGTCATTTGATTGGCTGGAGCATCACTTAACCGACGCGCAAGATTTTGTGCTTCGGCCTTGAACAATCCACGTGTCCATGCTTCAACGTCAGTACTATCATACATTTCAATTTTTGGTATAACAAGACGAGTTTTCGAATCTTTATTTGCCTGATATCGCCAAATACCTAAAGAAGCCCCTTCTGCTGCTTGTTCAGCATATTCCATGGTATCGAGATGAACTTCATTCATTCCATGATCTTGCAGAGTGCGAGCACCAACTGCAGCAGCAACACGGACATTTTCCTAAAACTTTTATTAAAAAAATTTAATTAGAATAATGTTGACTGCCTACCATTCCTTCATCAATCATTTCGAGCTCATTAAACCCTATGCCTTCACGACCGACTCCCACTACAGCAACTGTACGATATTCAGTATCAATATTACTGAAAACCCTGCCGCGACCAACTTTTCCGTTCAACTTGCAGCTATATAGATTGGTATTATTTTTGAAATTGCCTTTTGGTTATACAAACTCACCTTTTAACTAAATCATATAGTTTTCCATTTACTCGGTCATTAAATTTCTCACCACTTTGGGTGAATTTTATATCGTCACCTTTCTTTTCACGCTGATATATCCCAACAACAATTCCTTTCTGTAAAACAAATTTAATTCGAAATTAGTTGTCATACTATGATATACAATTATATTACTCTTAATTTTAATATCTAATACGAGACATAATCTGTATTATTTAATTAAAAGTAATTTGAAGTAATTTTGGTATCAGGGTTTTTTCGATTGTGAATCAGTACAGGAAATGCTCCAATTACAAATATATATGGTGTCGTTCCAAAATATAAATGCAAATTTATATATAGTTCTAAAGTCGGTTTAGTGGGTTTTAGATCCTGTCATATCAGCAGATTACCTACTTTTTATTGGAGATACTTGTATTTCTTTTTTCACAAGTCTGGGCAACGCTAAAAATTGTAAACGCATTTCTGCCGATTTTGCTAATATGTTTCTTATGATCAAAGATCTATTTAAAAAAGAGTCGATATCTCTATGAAATATCAGTTAATAGATATTTTCTTCGAATTTCAAACCACTCGGAAAATAATTTATCTTTTTGGAGATATTTTGTTAAATATAGCCTGATATCTGTACTATTTCTGTACTGAGTGCTATTGTTAACTATTTTCTTAAACTATCAGCAATTACTATGGTTAAAATAAGAATTGAGAAACAAGGCGAATGATAGCAATGCTAAAGCATTATGACTGTCTCCCAGTCTTATATTCTAGACTATGCCAGGAACAGTTGGACTTTTGGATGGTCAACGCACTGCTATTAATGAAGATAATTGATAGCAATACTAAAGCATTATGATAACCTCCGATTCCTACATTCTAGACCATGCCAGAGACAACAATAAGAACACAAGTACCACTACTATTTTTGTTTGCCGAACGAGACGGATAATAATCATAGTTCACTGTTCTTCTTGGAACAAATTATTTAATGAGTGGCTGGTTTCCCTGGCTGAAACTGTTGATATCGTCAAGAACGGATCATGATTTTAGCATATAGTAGCCACGCGTAATGAATATTGGCCACTCAAAATATTACATTTCAAAAAATCGCAAAATCTGATTTTGATCATTAAGTATATTAATCAGTTATGCATCTTTAACTCTTTACTTACAAAAACAAATAAACGACTTTTGCGTTATTTACTTAAAAAAATGTTAAATTAACATATCGTCAAATTTTAATAAAAGATTATTTTTTACTGTCAAAAATTAAGAAAAAAATTATTTTTTACTTTGTTGAAAACAGTGATTCTTTGCATGTTGTATTAAGAATAGATATTTAATATAAGACACTTAATAGAAGTGTACTGGACCGTCCAACTTTTTGAACAAACCCCAAATCTAACCTTTGGAACTCTACTATACATTACATAATATATGAACTGAATCAAAGGTTCAGAGTGATCCGTTAAGCAGATCACTACAAAATTTTTTGACATTCACAGCCTAATTTCATTTACATATTTATACCATAAATAAAAAATGTATCGTCCTTTCATAACAAAAAATAAAATATTTTGCTACTTACGAAGGTACCCTTTCCGCAATCCATGTCCGCAAAATTTCTTGAAGCCATAATGCGTACTCCAGTTCTTGCAGCTGGGAATAATGCCATACGCATTCCATGGTATACACGACTCCAAACCATTTTGATCGCTTGATGTTAAAAGCGAAAAAAATGGATAAACTAATTTACAAAAAATTTCGCCAGCGAAAAAACTTCGCTAAAAATTTTAATTTAATTTTGACTATAAATTTTTTATCTGCCGACCAATTTCGAAACCAACACACAATGAAATGAAAAATTATGATTTTAATTTTGCTTGACTTTTTTCATAACATCAATGCTAATGTGTTTAATATTTATATAAAATTACTGCCTTATCGTCCTGAGAATACAAAAATTTTTTACTTTCATAAAATTTACTACAAATCGACAGAATGCCACTTTAGTCTCAAATAGATATTGAATTGTTTATTGTGAAGTTGATCCTGAATCTCATGTTCCTATATCTATATTAGAGATTAAATTATCTCTGTCTATATAAAGACATGTATAAAAAGTGGGATAAAAAAATGAAAATTATTTTCGAATAAAATAAAAATAACTGGCAATGCTATTTTAAATTGACATTTATTTTAAATAATGAAGATGACAAGCCAACATAATTGTTATTGTTAAAATCAAAAAAAAAAAAGGATAAAGATACATTTTCGAATGTGCAATGTATGGTATGTTACAAAAAAGTTAGATATATCTCGATAAGCAGAGTAAGTTCCAAGTACTATTAGATTACTTTGGCATCCAGTGTAATTATTTTAATTTCGAATAGATAATGTATGTTAATAAAAGATCAGACTTTATTATAATTTGATGGGACGTACTAGAACTGTACTTTTTTGCTAAGTTTCGAATCTAATATATTATAATTATATAAATTTCAAGCCCTTCAGCGACACTAAGATAAGTTCAGATAGATCTATGGAATGGAAAACCGCTTTTTGGTAAATTTAGGATCGAATATATAGAATCACGATATCACGATTAAATTAAAGATCTTTTTGTTTACTTTTATTTTTGATATGTTTGATATTCAATGACTTCTCCAAATTTTATTTATTAAGTTAACGCTGGACAATACATTATTAAAAGTAAATAAAACAATAGAAATATAATATCTTTCGTATATCTTTCATCTAGACATCTTACAATACTAGATTATTTTAAAGTAATATTTGATCACGTATAGAAATATAGCTGGCAATAGTTAATAGTTTGAGGTTTGTTCTCATAGACACGATTTTTTGCAAAATTAAACAAATCCATTTGTGAAAATGTCGCATAGTCTTGGTGGCCAATTCAAATCACTAAAATTTAAAATTTTGAAAATTGAAACAGGATGCGACGTCATTCTGTTGAACCTACATATTTATTATATCCAATTTTTTCAATTTCATGTATATTCGTAGTAATCTTTTTGAAAACATTGAAGGCTGTCATAACTTTTGACCATAGAATGCAATCATACAGTTACTTCTTGAGTATCCAATATTCTTTCTAACAATGCTACTTGTGGATTTTCACAACTTCAAAGTCGACTGGTACTTGCAGTCCAACAAATATATACAGATTATAAACTAATTAAATAAAAAGTCGAATGTTTCCTATGTTCACTGATGATGATTACTTGGCAATTTGATTACTGAAAATCTCTGCCTTTCACTTTATTTAAAAAGTCGTTAGTTTTTTAATTATTATTCTATGATATTCATACATTGTTTAATCTCTGAAGAAAATAGTAAAATAGTTTACCAAAGAATACAAATTAAAATCAACTCACAGAGGAAAAGATTTGACATGAAACCAATGATTTGAGGTACCTTTGGGATGATTATTCCCAACTTAAAATCCAAGAACATAATTTCAAAAATTGAAATCTGTGTTCATAAAATAAACACTCCTAAAAGTTAAATTAAGTAAATTTACTACTGCTCAAAGTAATTTATGAAATATTTCATTGCATAAGAAAATTTCATTATTATTTTAGAAGATATGCTTTTTTTTCGAGTTACGAAATTTTGATGGGATTGGTTAATGTGTGACTTTGGATTACAAATTAAAGAAATTGCTTCTAACATAAATCCATAAAGTAGAAACTAAGTACTTTAAATAATTTTTGAAAAATCCATGTGTTTCTACACATAAAAGTTTTCTCTTTTATTTACAAAAGTAAATCATATTTAAATACATTACTTTCTATTTTTATATACTTCTTATAACTCTTCTTTAAGAAATGCAATTTTGTAAAATGCAACTTAAATCCTTCTTTCATTTCAAATAGATTTATTATTTATGATTTTTACTTCAATGGTTTTTATGTCATTCAAAGAAAAATTGCAAAATTTAAAAACTCTCCGGCTATGAAAAAATATTCATTTTAAAGTATCTTGCGTATGCAGATCCTATATTTCAATTGTTCTATTAAAGCTGGTGCAAATTCCATGGAGAACTACAGTGGAATGCATAGGAAATGGTGCAATGTTGTAGAAATACAATAACTGCTTCACGATTTCATATAAAATAAACAATGAGTTTTGACTTTAAAGACTGTAAGTAATAGGAACTTTCCTTCATAGTAAAATATGATGCAGCTTGTGTAGAATATTAATATTTATTTTAATATATTTTTACTTCTTTGAAAAGTAGGTATAATCATACATGGAAAGATTTTATACATACAATAGAGTTTATCTACAATATTGAAACAATAATTTAAAATTTTTTTTTAAATAGTTAAAAAGGTAAAAAGGTATTCCAGGTATAATTATAAAAAAATGCTTAATACCATATAACTTTTATATAAGAACTAGCTCAACAAAGTTAAATGTACAACAATACATTTACACGTTTATTGCCCTATATAGTTATATTTGTTAAAAATGCTTATTTCAACTAGTAATCTTGGTAATCTAGGTGTTCCTTATTCTAGTAGATAGATAGCTGCCAGTAGTAGATTTTTGTATAAGAGACGAATTTACTTGCATTATAGTGGGCCTATTTGAATACTAGGAAAACTTTTTCAGTTTCAAACTTACTGCAAACTTAAACAATTTTAATACAATAGAGGTTTTGACCGGAAAATCATAATACCGTTTTAATGAAATATGGTACATTTTAGTCCCCTCATGGCGGATGATTGCCAGACTTTCAAAGAAGTAATAACAAATGATTACTTAAAAGATTATTAAGCACTCACTTCAAATATATTTATTTATTATTTGTTATAGTTGATACATATTTTTCATATTCAATATCAGAAATATAATAATTTTATAAAAATCACTTTACAAACTTTTGGGTTTCCCTTTAGAGAAGTCAATGTGTTTTAAATACAAGAGTTAATTCCTTAGTAGAAAAAATGAAAAAACTCATAAGTTTATTTTCAATTTATTGACCGAGTAAAATGGTGACAAATAATCGTATTTCTAAAAACGAGAAGTTAGTCAATAACAGCCCAATTTATACGTAAAAATTGTTGTTTCTAATAAATACTCTATATATTAAAATTAATATATTAAAGTTTAATCATAGTAAATTTAAAATTTCTCGGGTCTCTAGAACATCTCGGCTAAAGCGGGTTTGTATGATATATCGTATATATAAAAATTTATATGTCAAAAATTATAATTGGTAGAAGATACTCTCTGTATAAAAATTTATATATTTAAAAGTAATTATAGTGAATTTTTAATTTATAAAATCTCAAATAGATTTTATTCTAATATCAATAATATTGTGTATAAAAACCAAATTCAATAGAAAGTCTCTACCCATTAATACAAATAATTTCAGGTAATAATCATACTCAAAATCCGAAATATATTCGCATCATGTTCAAAATTGTTTAAGAGTCTTACTGCGAAAATGTACTATCAATAACATCAAGGAAATGTAAAATTTAATTCAGATGCAAACGTAGCAAAATGCAAATTCCTTATTAAGGCATTTCTAATACAATCACGTATGTGCACAGATTGTCTAAGTGTATTTAAGTCTGTTTTATCCTTCTGTCACATCAGTTATAACCCAATTTCGTTCGGCATGTTACGCCAAACGCTCCTTCCATCTATCCTTCAGCGAACTCAATATCTTTAATGAAATTTGCGTAAATCGAAACTAAAATGTTTTAACATTTTTTATGCATTTTTTATTATTGGATTTGTTTATTGTTATCAGTATTGCAACAATAACAAACAAAAAAAATAAAAAAAAAATAAAAATCAATGTTTTTAGTACCGATTTTATGAACCATCAAACACTATAAAATTTCATTAAAAAGATTATGGTATTTACTTTGATTTGCTACGAAGATAAGATAACATGAATAAAAATTAAAAAAGACAAATGTAGTGGAAAAATAAAGATATTATTTAAAAAAAAACTAGCTAAAATATTAAATTATAGGACTTTTAGTTAGTTACTTAAAGATATAGTGGATATTAATGTTTAATTTTAAAATATTGCTGTACATACATATATAATGTTAAATAATTTATATATTATTGTAACGTCTTTATAATAATATTTATGGATTTATTTATATATTGTAGTGAATGACAACAACAAAATTTAAATTATTTTAATTAATTGAATTTTTGGCTGATCATACAGCTGTTTCGACTGTTGTCAAATACACGTCATCCAGAGGCGAGGCGTCGAATGGTTCAGAGTGTTCACTGAACACCTTAACAAAACTTCATTTTAGATTTTTTTTTATTAGGTAAATAATATTGTTATGTTGCTACTTAACAGTTTTTATAATAGCTTTTCCAAATAGATTAACATAAACACAAAACGTACAACACAAACAAAATCACACGTGTTACTTACACCAAACATTACTTATAATTAATAAAAGAGAAAACACATTCCTCTTAAAATATACTAAGGTTCAGAATACAAACTGCGGTGCTGCTTACAAAGCATGCAAATGAAATAACATTCACATTGGGAGTATGTTTAATATTGAATACACAACACAAAACAGACCAACAAATATAAAAATAAAAGAGAAAACAAGCCCCGCAAAATATGTGCGTAAAATAATAATAGCTCTTAAATTAATGCGTGCAAGCGGTTCAATAAAAAAAGTGAACCTCCAATGTTATGCAAAGTATATACAAAAGAGAAAAGAAATGACTGAGCGAAAATCACTTTACATTTGACTAGAGGTTCAGTCGACTAAACTGAACCATAAGTTATGAACTTGCAAGCGTGCAAATACAATCAGAGCACGGTTGCTGTTTTATATGGGCAAATGATTCAGTAAAAAAACTGAACCGGATAGTAAATACAAAGTAAAAGAGTAAATGAATGCATGAGAGTTTCTTACTCTTATATAGAGGTTGGAAATAAATCAAAAACAAAGTCATTATTGCAATTTTATACTAGCAAATGGTAAAAGTAAAGATATTTGAAGTGAAAAATAATATTTAGAAATGGATAAATGGGTAATGAAAGATTTGATTTAAATATCTTTTTTTAAACGATCTTCTGAAAAAAAGATTTTAATTCATAAAATGTATAGAA